AATACACATTCTTAACTTGTTTTTTATAGTCTATCATTAAGGCCACTGACCACAAAGAGGACATTTTTGGTCCCCTCATTTCCTAATAGTTTTGCTTAGCAGTTGTCAGGGGGTAGTCGTGCACCCTTTTTGGATTATAACGGAGGCTGGAGACACGGTCGGAAAGATTAATCTGCAATATTAAACGCATATCGGTAGCTGATGGGTCTGTTGCTTCAGTCAGTGTCCACACATTACACAGTGAGATGCATGTAATGGATAATAAACTACAACTTTAGTATTCTCTGCAATAGATACCGTTACATTTGCTCCGACAGCAGCATTGAGTGGGGCCTATGAGTGCGTGAAAACGAAATACCTCATTGTAAAAGATAACAGAATAAATCAAACTGTTGCTTGCCAGACGATGCAAAACCCTGAATGGCACCCTGAATACAATGGTCCATATTCTATAGTTACAATTACTGAAATAATTTGCATATAATTTGTTGCCTGTGTCGCATTTCTTCTTCCGCCCTTTTTTTTAAAAACTTGTTTTGTAATGCAAATCAACACTATTGGACATTTTGCACAGACAGAATCTGAGTTACCGTTACGTTTCTTCCCAATAATGACTCGCTTTCAGCCTCAGTCGATGGCCATTAGGGCGAAGCTAGCGAAGGTAGCAACTAGCAGCTACCGTGCAACTAGCCATTTTGGCTAAATCTGTAGATGCAGGAGAGATATAAGTCAACTCTGCGAATCGAGAAATAGCTTTTACTTACCAAAAACAAGGGGATAACCCTGGACTTAAAAACACTTGGTATGCATAGGTCACCTCATCAAACAGGCAAAGCCACTGCTGGGCAGGGCATATTTCCTCTGTATCCTCAGCAGCTCAGCAGCATCAGCCTGTCTATAGAGGAGGAGGAGGAGGAGGACTGCACTCAGATGATGTCATCAGTTCACATGCAAAGATAACAACATCACTCAATGCATCTAGAGAATAAAATCACCCTAATGCAAATGTTCGGGCCTTCTCTTCACTTTCAATATATCTTAATTAGAAATCTATTCACGGTGAAAAATAGAAAAAATAAAAACAATTGAAACGTATAACATGACAAATGTGATTGATTAATTAATGAGCTCCTGGCATGTGTATAACCCAATTTGTATTGTGTTCTAATACTGCAATATTCCTTTATGTATAATTTGCTACATAGCCTAGGCCTACATTTGTTTAACATTTCACTTTGGTGAATCAAAGAAGTTGAAAAATAGCCTACATCTATGATCAATTTAAGTAGGGCTACTGCACCTCGGTGTTATTCTTATACGTTTTAACTAACTAACTAACTAACTAACTAACTAACTAACTAACTAACTCGAGAATTAACGAACTAACTAACTAACGTTACAACTAGCCTACTTGCTTAGCTACTGAACATAGTAGTGTACTCGCAGTGGTACGCCTACATTGTTAGCCTACCGTTGCTAATATGGCGATAAATGCTAACAAAGTTCAACTCGTATGGTCCTAATGTATTTATTTATATTTTTGAAGTATTTCAAAAGCTATCTGTTTTATACAAGGCAACCAACGACAGTAGTTTAATAGAGTTGCTTACAGCGAGCCCACATACTGTAACGTTATAAGAGGTTTAATGTAAATAAACCCTTTATTGTATGTGAATATGTTATTTCTTATAACATCTAATTAATGTAAAATCGTTGAAGTTAAATCACATTTATTGCTCAATGTAAAGTTTTACCTTCTGGCATTGGTTGCTAGGAAACAAGATAGTCGGAACTGAAGCGGTTCTCATGTGTTGTACCCGGAGGTTTCATGCGGTTGCACAGCACGTCCTTGACTTCCTACGAGAGGTAAAGGAAGCTATTCGGTAGGTCACTCATATTTCTGAGTAAAAGGGGGGAATTGTCATCATGTGGTTCTTACCGGAGGAGGCGAAGGATCTCCCTCCCCCGTCCCTCTTCAACATGAACTCGGCGTGGCTGGCGTTTTCAGCCGGACTTGCTTCGATGTTCCACAATGCCATCAACCACAAGCCACCTCTGAAATCAGGTTAGCATGTTTGTTAGCAGGCTTTCAGACGTTAGCTTCTCTACAGAGCTGCTCTTTCCTCTCAAGCATTATGCAACATTTAATCATAATTATTTTTTTTATTTATTCTTATTCTATCTATTTTTTTTAATTATTATTTTCTATGTGTTTTACTATGTTTTCTTATGTTTAGATGTTGTTGTTTAATCCGCTTGCTCTCTGTATTTTTAAGTGAAAGCACTTTGTAACTATGTTTTGGAAATGTGCCATATAAATAAAGTTTATTATTATTATTAATATAATGTATAAAAAAACCCTGCCCTGACATGGTGCACTTATAAGAGTCAACATTGTGTGTCATTGCTGAGCAGCTGAACGTTTTAAAAGGTTACACATCTCCTATGCTAGGCAGACATAGAGCAGACATACTGTAAACATGAATCATATCAGCCTTACTTAAGTCAATATTAACAATAAACTCACTCAACAACATTTCCAGTGTCTGTTCTTTGGTGCTCATTTTCTTTTAGATAATGATAATAATACATGGCATTTATATAGCGCTTTTCCTGGTGCTCAAAGTGCTAAAGATCCAAACTATATACTCAATCTGGTGGGATATCATTATGCTTGACTTATTTCTTTATATCTTTGAATTTGACTTAATTTAAGAACAAGGTAGCACTTAATTTGAAAAGCACCATGAACGCTTGTATTTATTCTTTCAATGCTAACCTTTACATTTATGCATTGTGTTGTGTGCTTAAATGACACTCATCCATGTCCATTTTCTTGTTTTAAGGTGTTCACCGACTTGTCCTAATGACAACAATTGGTTGGTACGTCGGCTACCATGTGACAAAAAGAGAACATTACTATTTTGCCAAAGTTGATCGAGATATGAAAGAGTATATCCAACTGCACCCAGATAATTTTGTTGCAAAGGGTAAGTGAAATATCAGTGTTTTTGCTCTTCCAGAAGACCCCGACAGTGCTCTTGATGTTTTTTCTATGCATGTTCATTAATATTTAACAATTACTGATTAGTCCCATTTTATCCACCTGCAGTGCCCTTTTCTGAATATATTTTGGCATTCAAATGCATATTTTATTCCTTCGTTTTATCATATATTTTATCATCACTTAGGACGATTATATGCGAGTTACAGACCACAATTATAAAACAGGATAATACGAGGATATGAAGCCCCATGCTGTGTATGTGTGCCGTTCTTTCTGTCGTGCTTGATGTTCACTTGGAGATTTTTAAGTCTTCACATTAAGTATAAGAACATTGTGACCCATGTTTATGTGAATTTAAATGGTTTCTTTCTGTTTTTGTCATCCCACCAGACAAAAAGACCTTTGCAGAGATTGTCGAGCCTTTCATTCCCGTTCGCTAATTGGCGTCTGATGAGATGGAAGAGGAAGGGAGGGAGAAAACACTTTTAGACTACCATCTGTCTTCAGTGGTCTTTTTGTGAAATCTTTCTGTCAACTATTGTACAAAATATTGTTATGTAATAAAATAAATACCCAAGTTTAAAATGTTCTCATTATTCAGAAGCATAGACATGAGTGTTTGCACATAAATCAATCCTAGAACACGGCTCGGTTGTTACATGGTCTTTTAATCAGTCAACCTTTTATATCTTCAACCATAATGTCCAATGGGCTATTACAGTTTGCAAATGAATGGATAGATTTGGCTAACATTGACAAAGCACGGTTGTTCCATATCATTTAGTTACAGGAATTGGGTCACTGAATGTAAACAGTTTGTGACAATCATGTGACTGTTACTTCTTGGCTGTTACATGTACAGCACATTTTAAAATCACCAGATATTTAGCTTAATGTCCACAAGTCTTACAGGTTTTTCTAATTTGCAACTCCAATAATGTCCATATATTTTTCAGTGAGACTCTGAGTCTTCTTGGTGAGGTCACTCATCACAGAAAATAGTCCTCTGAGGTGGAAGCCAAAGAGAGCCTCTGGATCTGTGTCCAACAGAGTCTCCAGGGTCTTGTTGAGTGCTGTGTTCTTGGCCTTGTGGTCATCCAGGCGAACCAGGTTGCTCTCCGCTGTGTTTCTTATGGCCTTGAGCATCAGGTAGTTGCTATACAGGTCTGTGCAGGACTCCTCTGCTGCCTCACAGTTCCAGAGGTCATCGGAGGGGACGTCTCGCAGCAGGCTGGGCAGGAGAATGGTCTGCTCCATGTCACAGACGGCTGAGCTGTACCGTCTCAGAGCCAAGAGGAGGCTGTTTTTGTTGAATTTGGCTTCGGCAGACTGCATGGTTCCAGTTGGATGTGGTTGGCTGTTTCTTTGCTGTGGTGGTCGACAGTAGAACGCTGTGTGCAGTGCAAAGACATGAGAGCACAACTGGGGAATTTATACGAAGAGCACAGGTGGGTTGATCCATGCAGTTACATAATTGCATCAGCCGAGGCATTTAGGAGCACGTCGGGTGCTATGTGGAGTCAAACTCTTATCTTTATTTGATTTACACAACCCAAAGTCATAATGTCTGACCACTATGTACCTAAATGAACCTCTCTCAACACTTTAACAATGTAGATCACTGTGTTTGCCTGACAACATTATTTTATTTTTGTATTCAATCATTTAAATTACATTTAGCTGAGGCATGTCGTTTTTTTTTTCCACAACAGAAAGAGCCTCAGTTTTAAACTCAGGTTCTGTTTACATTTGCAGGTCATCTTCGAGAATTGCTGAACTCTAGTTCTGCTGTTGTTTTTCCATTTGAATAGGCAAAGAGAACTTGAATGATTATTCTTAAAAAATAAAATGTATCTTAAATATGATCCTACTAAACTAACAGCAATTGAGAAATGGTTGAGACAGTTTGACAATTGGCAGGTAGTTCTGAAGAATAGCCAAACACCACCAGAAACACAAAAGACCAATTATTATCACATAAAAACACACAGATTTATTGTTTAGAATGATAGCCGTTTCTGAGATATTACAATGTCAACCATTGAGTAAACATAGCAACATAGAAGACACCGATTGTAAGACAGAATTATTACCTCATTTGAAAACACAATATTAATATCATGTATATAATACACAATATACACATTATAATATGTAAACCAAGTGTAATCCAGTGCTTCTAGATCCTTTCTAACTTTAATTGTTCTCCCTTTCCCAAGTGCACACATTTAACCAAAGTTAAAGAGGAATTTGAAAGATATCATTATTCATTTTAATGGTTTTTCTTTTTTGTATCGTATCGTCATCATAAATGATTTTTAACCTAACATGTAATATAAATATGATATTGTGGCAGCCCTACATGTACATTTGTATCTTACTCTGTGAAAAAGGGAAGACTAATACAATATTAAAAAAACTGCTCTTTTGCAAATGTTTAATGTTCAAAGGGGGGGAAAAAAGAATTTCAACAAACATGTTTTGTGATTTTAAGGCAACATTGTAACCTAAATAATTGTCAAATATAATGAAGCAAAACATTTCATGTTAAATATTTGTACATGCAGTAACTACATGGATAGTCAGATACCATCCAATTTATATACAAGCAACAGTGTAATTTTATGCACATTTCACATGAACAACAACACAAAACCAACTAGATTGAACAGTCTCGGGATAGTTTTGAATAGTGTTAACATGTTATTACCCAAATGCGTAATTATGTCTGACATAGGGAGTGTTTTCTCGAATGAAGTTTGTAACAAAATTAACAAAGATTTTGGCAGTTCTCTTCTTGTGCCGGACAGTTCTGTAAACCAAGAGTCAAAGGGACTCATTCACCAGGTTTTGCATCATACTCAAGCCACACTGTAGGAACCTGAAAACTGTGTCCTCCTTCACTGAGAGACTCACGAAACACTCAGCTTGTTAAAATGTTGTAAAATGTAATAAAGCTGGAGGGCCACCGTTCAAGAAATGTGAGAGCACAAGCAGAGGGGACAGGTTCGCTGCTTCCCTCAGGCGACATACAGTGACATCATATCTGTGTAGGGCTGCTCACTCAGTTCAGTGCAGTTTGAGATGGGACTTTGCTCTTTAACCATCAAGCACATACAGTACATTCTTTCCTAAAAACTGCTGCATTCTGAAAATCCTTTCGAAAAGCACAATCACAATTTTGCACACAAAAATCCAGCTTGTTGATTTCACGTTCAGTTTATAGCTCTCTTCGGTTGACCATTCAGGATAATTTCCAAGACGTTTGTAAGATCCATCATCTTGCCAAGCATGTCCATGATGTCGGGATGTTCGTGGGCTCCACTGATGAACTCCTCCAGGGTCAGCTCACCTGAGGAGACACGTAGATAAGATGGAAATGGGATGAACACATTGTAAACAGTATGTAAAAATGGGAATAAGAAATCACATATTAGGATATTTCACGACTACTAGAGTTATGGAGACATTATTTCTAAAGAACACTATTGTCTTTTTCTTGGCTATGAAATCATTACATTAGTCATGGATTGACTATAGTTCTGACCTTCTCCGTTGACATCAATCTTCTCATATATAAGAGTTACAATCTCTTCTGGAGGGACGTCATAACTTCTGGTGATATCTTGAATAGCCTGTTGAAGGAGTTACAGTTAATGGTTAGTTAAATCGACACTGGCAAAGGTTAATCAATTCGATTAAACACTGCGCCTTTCCTCATTAAGCTCCTGAATGCTAACCCTAAATAGGAGTCTTTAAACAACGAGTGATATTTAAGACTAGGAATACCATTTATTTGGGTTCCTCTACACCAAATACGGTCTCTAAAATGACTAAATCCAAGGTGGTGTATATATATATATATATATATATGATTTAGCTTGACCTAAGTGTCAGTACCTGCAGTTATTACAGTAACAAAATGGTGACAAGGTAAAAAGTGATCATGTAATATGTACAGTGTGACTGCTTTAGTGACTAAATGATGTAATAGGGCCATATTTAGACTTGGAGTTGGATAATAAGCCCCCTGGATTAGATGTCTGCTGGCTAAATTTAACCATTCAGAAAACGTTGAAATGCCCAGTCTCTAAGATCCGTAAAACTAAAAGTATGGAACAAGAAAGAAGAAAACAAACCTTGAATATGGTCTCTAATTCCTCCTTGTCAATTTTCCCATTTCCGTCCTGATCAAAGAGCTTGAAGTACCACTTGAGTTTCTGGTTAATTTCTCCTTTCAGCAATAAACTAATTGCTGCGATGTATTCCACAAAGTCTATATAGCCATCCTGCAAAATGACACATAAAAAGTACAATTATGAATGGGATTATGAATCAATTTGATTAATCAGCAACAACAACAGGTATTTTTTCAAACGGTTTAATTTATCAGTTTATCATTCTATGCATTCTTTGGTTTTAAGCTTTGTGAAAGACGTCAGGAATCAAAGACTAGAGAGTTTAACCTCAATTGATCTAGAGACTTCAACTGACAGCATTTATAACAATTCTACACTATTCACGTAAAATAATTTGAAATAATGCAGTAAAACTCTTGTTTTCCAACAGAACGTTTCAGGTCTACATTACCAAAGAACTGATTTGATTTATTCAACAAGGTACATGCATTAGGAATTTGCAAGCAACTGTCATGTCAGTTGGAAAATTGTTACCAGACTTTGAGTCAATCACAAAATCCACTGTCACCTGGGCAGTGAATACAAACTCAGGTGATTTCTTACCCCATCCATGTCAAAGGTGAGGAAGACCTGTTCCACATAGCTGCTTGCCTCCTCTGTCATTCCGTTCATGTCGAGCATAGTCCTGAGCTCAAAGAGCGTTATGAGTCCTGAAGGGGACTCCTTCATGAATTTGGTGTACCAATGATGCATGTCCTCCTCCAGGATATCATCCAAGGTGGGGTATGCAGCACCCATTATTCCCTTCAGAGATGTAATTTAGTCCAGAATCCTGCAAAGAGCAAGTAGTGATGCTGAGACGAGAGAGAACAGAGTTTCTACAGAGCTCTGCAGCACTGAGGTCCGGCTGAAATGACATGCACCAAACACCTTAATCTGTAAATCCTGGCACAGCCAAAAGAGGACATAACTCCTTAATTGGATAACTGCAGGAGTCTTCCAAGAAGTGCAGGACATTGCATGCTTTATGACTGAAGTGGGCTTGGTTACTGGTTTCCACGGATCGGTAACTCCAATGCGTGACGAAGGAAGCCCCTTTGAACTCTCGACTCTTAGAGTTTGCAGGTTTTAATAAAGACCTCTGCCATGGAGCTGGAAGTCAAAGTGTATTCTTTTTTTTTTCAATACTAACTTTATTTTATCATATTTTGTTCTAGTTTGCTCTTTAGTCAGGTATTTACATAACTATTTATATATATATTTACATTTTATATGTTCACCTGCATAGTCACATGTTTGATGTATGCCAACTATTTGTATTAGTTTATCACATATTTCTTGGATTCCTCAGGGAATTAACAAATGGAATTCTTCATTTAAAACACAGACATGCTAGGAAATATTTCTGAGCTACAAACACATACATTACATACATTTCTTTTTTGGGGGGAGGTGGAGAACAACTATTTTGAAAGTTCTAGATATTATTTCCTTCTGAAATTCTACTAATGGTGTTACTGTTGGGGTTGGTCAATAAGGGATGCTGAAGTCGATTTGAATAACAATCTATTCTATTAAACAGTTCACGTCTCTTTGTTGAGTTACAAATACTGATGAAACTTGGGATGAATGACTTTACACTTTAGATAAAATATAATAAAATGATAAATTATCATACTTAGTATTATTAATAAAAGACCTATATGCATTTTCAATATTCATTTATTTTTATTTTGTGCTCATGTTTATTATATCTCCTTTATGGGGTCTTTTGCTACCCTTTTTTGAAAAATCAACTTTGAAGTAAAAACCATGCAGCTTTGGCATGCAGTATAAATGCATACTAAACGGCCATGGAAAGTCTCACTCTGATGGATTCAATGAGCCCAATTGTAATCATGTGTTGTATTGATAGTCCCTAAAGTAGCCCTTTCATTTGATTGAGACCACTTGTTGAAACTTGATCTCACTGAGTTTTTTTTTGTTCCAAAATAATCATAACTTCATTCAACCTTGATAAGCACAAACTACTGTACAGACCCATGACATTCAGAGGATGTATGGCTTTACTAGTTATATTGACAGTAAACGGGGTTACTGAGCAGTTTCCACAACAGAAGTGCTCGCATTATATATGGCAAAAAGAAAACTACAATCTACAATTTTGAAAGTACTTTTAAGCACTTTTATCAATTCTCAAGTGTTCAAAAATGAAACAGTTTAGCAATTACTCCGGTTAAGGAACAAATTGCATCAACTCAACATTTGCTGATAAGATTTAAGAGACAAAATGGATCATCCCCTACTCTGTACACCTATACAAAAAGGTTTGATTGGTAAGAGATTACAGTAGTTTTCCTGGTATGTTAAGTAACAGGTATTAGCAAAAGCTAGTTCAGATGTAGCCTAAACTACCCTGAATATATTTTATTGCTCATAAAGAAATGTGGAGGACCGAAATATGATTTTGTCTGCAGAAGTACATTTCCTGCCAACTCATTGACCACAGAATTAGGCAGACAGATCATGTGTGTGTGTGTATGTGTGTGTGTGTGTGTGTGTGTGTGTGTGTGTGTGCGTGCGTGCGTGCGTGCGCGTGTGTGTGTGTGTGTCAGCATTTTTGTTATTTTATCAAAAATACTTAATTGTTTTTGTATGCATTTGATAACAATGACATGGAGTTTAGCTGTAAAGAGATGATCTGTTTAAATAAATTGACTTTCCTCGCCAAACATATCATAAGAATAAAACCATTTCCAACTCATTCCAGCCTGTGATCAAACAGCTTGGTTTAAAATAACTCAAATGTCTTCTGTGTGATCAACATGCAGTAAGGCAAGCAGGCAGACATGTTTGTTTTTACTTTCAATGCAAGAACAGGTGTTATGCTTTAAGAGGATTGAGGTTACAAAATCATTTCCTAGAACAGAACATAATCATCAATCTGATTACATAAACTCAAACCGTAGGATAAAAAGAAGCAGTTATTTTACATCTCTGGCATCTAAGTGTGAGTCAATTGGACTATATAAAAGTCCCGCCGATCCTTAATGGATAAATACACGTTTAACCAGCCGTTGTGACCCCTGACCCGTGCTTGACCTAAGTGTGGCTCTGGACTGCCAATAGAGGATTTTGGGTACTATAAAGTAAAGACAGTAGTGGTTTTTAAACCAACCAGGCTATCGAAGCTCAGTGAGCTTATTATAGTAAATCTGGCTTTAGACGATTACCAACGCTCAAAATAGGGTTGGGAAGATGTCTGTGCACAGTAAGCACATACAGCACGGGCAGCTAGTATCTATTAAGTGAACTGACACGAACAGCGATGGCACAGGGTCACTCACTGCTGCCAACAGATTAAGAAAAGTGTTTACTTGCAAAGAAGAGAGATAAACCTGCAGACACACTGCCAGCCCCTAAATACAGTAAAGAGAAGCTTACAGTTGTCAAGTCAAAATCAATAGAATCCCCAAATGTGAAGGTTTATTCGTGTTTATTCAACATTTGCAATATTTGAGGGTTTCAAAGAGCAGGTGGAGTGATATGATTTTATGCGCAATAATGAACTGTTGAAACTCTTGGATCCCACTGATGATCTGCTGTATAAACTTGATCGTTTGACCAGCATGTGACTGTCATGCAGCAAGGATGTTTGAGGACTGCAGGTGCATGTATACAGTGTTTCCTCTTCATGTTTAGTAGCCCACATGGAAAAAAGGCTCAGTATTTATGTCTGTTTTTAAAACAGTATTTACACAATAATGTGTTCACATGATTCTGTGTCTTTTCAGAATAGCCAATATTGGTACCTCAAAAATGTATTTGTGCAATCATTCAGAGACCATTTATTGCTATTCAACACAGCAAAACAAATTTAAAAAAATGACATGCCAACTTGTTGGTAGTATCTTGCACTTAAATAAAAGTAGACCAGAGAGTAGGAATACTCTGTTACAAGTTAAAGTCCTGTATTCAAAATGTTACTGAAGTAAAAGTACAAAGTATTAGCATAAAAATATACTTAAAGTTCCAAAAGTAAAAGTACTTATTATTGCAGATTGGTCCATTTCAGAATAATATAAATGTTACATGATATTATCAAACGCTCCCGCAAAAGATAATCAAAGTTTGTATCACAAAAAGGCAAGGAGTTAAAATAATGTATTAGGTTAAGCTTCAACTTCTTATAACACATCTTGTACCGAGTGCTACAGGTTGAAGTGAGGTCTCATTAATAACCATCTGGTGGAAGTGGAGAATGTAATGCGTGTGACCGGATAACTTTGCACAAACATCAATCACAGCTGTAATCTTATTAGAGGACAGACATGTTGACATGAACACTTCCAGGAAATATATATATTTTTAAATCAGACAGCTATTTACACCGGCGCTATTACATTTAAAAAACAGCTACCAATACAAATTAAATATGAAAGTGTCCTTGAATGTCACTCCAAACGGAGACAGGCAAATCCAGGAAGACAAGATAAACAAAGGAACCAGTAATAGCCCATCTGCGTGTTTAACATGCACTCCCTCTACTGTTGAACCATAAAGAACATAAACAAATACAGCAGGTCACTTCTTTGTGAATAGAAAATATCGTTTTATCAGGCCATGAACAGCTTTACTTATAAAATTATCACACAAGCAGCATACCTGTACAGTTCTCTAAAGCTGATTTTCCACAGTTTTGATTTGCAGATCATGTCCTGTGATGGAAAATAAAGCTATGTAAATATAAAAACTTGTATTTATATAAAAAAACATGTATAAAGCCACAGGTTTTGAACAAACAGTCGTATGATTTCACAGTGATAGACAGGGAATGAACATAAACAATTACAGCACTGACATTTTTATCAATATTCTTTCAATTAAACGTGCAGTTAAACAAGGCACGATACAAATATAAACATCAATATCAGAGTGACAGTAGATTTCCAGGCACTGTTGATTGATTTTGAAAAAAGGAACAGTCTCAAAGCACCATAACACACCATGAGATCACACACACAGCATGACCTACAGGGGATTGTGTGACTGTGGCCATGTACTGTAGGTTTATGTGGTCAAGCTGCAGCATTTGCAACATTTCTACAGTCATGGGGGGAAATCACACGTACGTATGAAAATCATATGCTACAAGCAACCATCTCACTGTAGAGGGTTAAGTGTTTGCTCAGTGTTTCACTTAAATTACAACAAAGAACAGAATTCCCTGTACGGATTAGAACATGTGTTCCTAGTGTTTTAAAAACATCTTTAGGGAAACTGGATCTATGTACATCTGCCCTGACTCATCTGGCTCCTGGTCATATAGGAACTGTCTGAACACGTTGTACACCATCTCCCTGCTCAGAGTTATGTTCCTCAGCTGATCCTGATGGTCTGCAGGCATGAGAAATGTCAGCTGGTAGTCAGCGAGGACCGACTGGTTCCTGTGAGCAGAGTAAAACAGAAGTTCACACCACTTTTCAGTTAAATGCACAATGACAAAAAGCCCACTCTATTTATGTAGCTGAGGTGTACATTTTAGTGCATAATTATTCGAGTGTGATGTGTGTTTACCGGAAAGCATATATGTCTGCTTTCGAGAAGTATCGTCCGAGAGCAGGGGAGGATCTGTAGAGGTTAGCCAGCTGGGTGGGGCAGGTTGACACAAGCAGAAGCAAACAATGAGGTAAATGGTTTTGGCCGATAAAGACCTACTTTCAATAGACTGTGAGCTCTACTCTGCCACTTAGGGCTCTTATATTCACTGTAAGAGATCAACAAAACAGCTCTCAGCAACAGCAGCTATGAACAGGTTTTTGTCTTTCGGTTGAGAAAAGTGTCAGATTTTTCATCCAAATAATGATCAACTGTGAGTTCTTCTGGATGAAGTTGGCTATGCAGCTCTCTCACTAAATAAAACTAAATATAGAATATAAAGTGTGAACCACGGTTTTAAAACAGTTAAAAATAAAATGTAAATTTTATTTAATGTTATTCGTCATAATTGTTATTCTTTTGTCCATAGCTTGTTAATGTATGTTTTTAAATGAAAAAAATGATGTTGCTTGTTATGAAATGTGCAACACACTGTAAATAGTGCCTCTACAATATCATAACTATTAAGTTAGTTGTTACATGGTTATATATATTAAGCCATTATATGGTAGGCATCACATCAGTTCCCTATTTGTCATATAAAGATAGACACTGATGCAATAGAATGTTTCTAGTCCTATGTTATATTGTTTGTTACTTAATATACTGAATTATAAATACCACAAACTGATAGGATTGTATTAAGTACATCATTTGAAATACGGGTCATAAATGGTAAAAACCTTTTCTCGAAGTTCACCGGCGAGTGTTTGGCTCTCGTTGGAGGACATGGTGAAAAGGTCCTCTGTAAAGACCAGATTGGGCAGCTGAAAGCTCCCATTGAAATACTGAGGAACTTTAAACGTCGAGGGATCAAAGATCTCATCCTTGTCCTCGTGAATCACTGTTCAAAGAAAGAAAACGAAAATCTGTCAAAGCCTTGACACAGATCAGATAATAATAAACACAATAAACAACACACCCATCATGAAACCTTACCTGAGCACAGAAGCACTGAAATGATAATCACAGCAGAGATGAGGAAAAATAAGAAGATGATGGCCATCCACAGTTTGACTCTCCAGAAGATAACCTCATTCAGCTCTCCCTTTATCCTGCACACGGCACTTTTCTAAAAGCATAATGAAAGGACAATAGGGCTTCACTTTTTTTCAAGCTTGAAACTAGCCTTTCATGTTGAACATAGTTTAAGAGATAACACAAAAAGCACAGAAAAACTAGTTTATGTAGCTGAACCTTCCTCTTTTGTGTCCGGGGGATGCATGGGGAAATAATTTGTTATCACATTATAGCAGAAATGTTACCCTTCCTTTATTCCAAGTATAAGAAGAAATGCCCCAGAAACAACATGTTAACATTATAATTTCTTAACTACAGTAAGAGTCTCCATACCTCTTGAGGAGTGTGGATATTTTCCAGATTAATTTGAGTTTCCACTGCATGGTCAGAGGCCACTGTCCCCCCATTATAACCAGAAGTCTGAGAAAAAGACACAGCATGCAACTGTCACTCTCATCTAAGGACAGTGTGTGGATTTTTTTTCTCTGGCAGGAATGATGAAAATAAGTGAGTAAAACAAGTTGTTGCCACAGAACACACTACATATTTATTACATACATACACATACTGAAAACTTGAACAAAACTTTGATTGAAGCTCACCTGTGCAGAAAGCAACCCGTCTTCCTCTCCTACATCAGTGATTCTGTAGGCCGCACCATCTCCGTTACCTGCTGTCACCTTGGAGCAGGCAAATATTGGGGAATAAATGAAATTCTTTGTGCAATAATAATGTTTATATTATCCCAATTTGGGATTAATAAAGTATATATTATATCTATCTATCAATTGTACATAAATCAGCCATTAAATATAAGTTTCATTAGTTAGTTACTTTGAAAAAACAATGAAAGACTAGTTCTAATAGTTAATTATCTTGATAAAATAAAAGTAAAATAAAAGTGTAGACACAGGGATATAGTATAGTCTGCCTATAATTAACATCATAAACTTGTATTATATTGTAATTATTATTAGCCTAGTAAAATATTATTATTCCTCTTCTGATTAGAATTGCCTCTACACTTTTAAACCCTTTGAACTTACCTGTTCCATAGACAAATATGTTGCTCCATGGTTCCCATTAGTCTTGGTCTGCAGCTCGATGTCCATGCTTGCTTCTTACTCCCAGTTCCAAATGGAAGAAGTCCTAACCCGGAAGTATCAATAAGCTACAACTTTTAATAATGAAACCGAACTGTCAGCATAAACGTCCCAGATGTGGTTCAAAAAGGCAACAAACAAACAGGTCGCGAGTTCACATTGTAAGGAGTGACAGCTCGTGGGAACGTTTTTGTTTGGTTTTGAGGCGAGGAAATGTGTCTCTTCTCTCACGGCTCGCCCTCTTCCCAGCCTGCCAGGTGAGTTAGTAGGCTACTTTAAGTTTCGCTGCACTGACGTCGGAAGGCGTTGTCAAGAAACAGTGGAACGTTAACAGACATGACAACAACGTGACACAACCCCGACATTACATGGAACTACAGTGAGTGTACTGCGAGTCACAGCCAGCCTTACTGTAACTAGTATTTACACTAAGGCTGGTAGTACAACGCAAGTTGTATTTACTGAATACAACTTGCGTTATGAAGTTAAATAAAATGGAATCTACCGAGCGAACACTTTTGACTGTTGCTAGGTATTTGAAGTGTGCATACCACGTGATCTATTTTTCCCCAGGTGAAGGTGTCTTAGATGTTACGACTTGAATATGCTTAACCAAATGACACGTTTAATAAGTCAACATGGCGGTTAGGAAGTGTTTTGTCAAATTCAAAGAAAGTTTCCTAATTATTAGATTAGAAACGTCTACTTTTTACAGTGAATAATGTGTTACGTGCGCGTATCACCTCTTGCTACGCTATACAAATGTTACAAAAATGTACTCACAGTAAACATTTTTTTTTAAAGAACAAGGGCTTCTGGATAAATGAACGGTATTTTTTTTTACAAGAGATCTTTGCATTCAAGTTAAATGTCAAAAATACAATTCTGAGGTCAAAACATTTATTTTATGCTATGTTTGCAATTCTCAATGGTCACAAGTAGAGGTCGACAACGGTTAAAAAACTTATTTTTTCCATGTTTTTATAAAGTACAAATAATGTCCTCAGAAAAAGACATATATGGTCCTAATAAGATTAGCTAATATGTTGATTAAAGAAAATGCAATATATGATATAGGGTGAATTGCCCTAATGTGGGAAATGTTTTGCATTTCAGACTTCGGGAATATATTGCGATATGAAGCAAATACAATAAATCAAAATCCAGTACCATTCTGAAATCCCCCAGGATGTGTCCTAATCAAACCAAAAGAAAAAAATGCAGATATTACACTCATAAAAGAAATGGTAGACATATCAGTAGTAGTGCCAAGTTGTCTCAGACAATCTGCATTTCCTAATGTGGGACTATGCAAAATGTGGGACACTGAAAAGTCTATGTTAAAAAGCCTCAGTCACCTTAATTCATGTAATAAAAACCTCTCAGGTCAGTAACACTCAAAGCTAAATGTGCAATACCATGTTCAGCTATGTTACTATAATGTTATTGTTGTTACAACAGAAGATGTTTTTCTTTAAATTGAAGTTTAATGCATCAATCTGGTGCACTTTGAGGGCAAAATTAAGAGATGTATGGATATAGCGCCCAACACTCATATGAAACCGAACTGTATGTATATATTTAAATAATCCAAAAATCATTAGAATATGCTCACAACCAATAACAAATATTTGATAAACTCCTCTCTCCTATCTTTATCTTATAGTCTGCATTCTTTATTTTTTCTTTATGCATATTCGACTAATCACTCCCCTTTTAAACTGTGTTTTTTATTTTTTTTACTGACCTATAGCACACATTGGAATGATTTGTTAACTTTGGCTATTTTTTACAATGTGTGTTGGATGGATTTATTAAATTACTCTGAATATTTGGGCTTAAATTAATTGCCATCTTTTAAACTCAGACATTTATCCCTAACATTATTCCTGACTTTGTCATACCATTTTAACAGAGATGCAGTCACCCCCAATTATGTAATATAATTTGCCCTTCACCTTAAATATCTAAAATAATGCATTAGAAGACTAAAACCCTGTAAATAACCATTGCGCTTGCACAATCCATGCCCCTTTTAGAACTGTCCCACATTAGGCTAATCATACTGTCCCACTTTGCGTAGTATATTTACACCATATTATAATATGTTCTGATGAACAAACATATTATAAACACATCCTGATAAAAACTTGCAAGATTGTTTTATTTATACGAAATTTAAAACCTTAACATTATATTTTTCAAAACACTATGTTGCTGACCTTTGGGTGGTCTTCACACAGGGTACTTCCTGTTTGAAGGTTTTTACACACTACACCTACACCTACGCCCATTTGAGCTTAGGTGTCCCACATTAGGGCGTGTCCCACATTAGGGCAACTCACCCTACTGAGATTTCTTCAAAAATATGTCACATGAGTAATTGCCAATAGATTAGTCTAATCTTCTTATTAGACCTCGGCTCAGATAAAAAATGGGCAGATCTACAGCAGATAATGATGTGATTTCAATACAAATAAATATATCAGGGTGTTATGTGTCCAACCATAACAGGTGCAATAAGGCTGTTAATCTAGAGCTGTGTAAAACTGCCAGTCCTAACACCCAGACACAGCTCTGCGATGTTCGCCCAGGGAAACTGTTGATTCGCATTTGGGTGTTCCATATAGGGATGCAGCAGCTTAAACAATGCTATCCACTATCAGCAACCTGTATTAACTAACATCTTAACTTTTTTAAATAATAATCTCCCAGGAGATGAAACTGACAGATTTTCACTTCAATAAGGAGAATTTGACTCATTTCAACCCCAATAGTCCTCCAAACACATGCAATGTCATCCTTCCAGAGAAAGGAAGTTTTATTTTCTTAACATTGCTGCGCACAATTGCAGAGGACCCAAGCCTCTTCGCAGTAGCACTGTCATTTTTTGTAGAATACAAAATGAAAGACAAGCACATATATCAAAGGAAAACTAGATTAGCATTGTACATCATTTCAACCTTAAGTGNAATAAAAACATTTAAAGGTGGGGTAGGTAATTTTGGAGAAACCAGCTCGAGTGCGCGAGAATTAGAAAATACACAGCAGGAACAAATTTGCCACTTCCAAGGAAGTGGCAAATTTGTTCCTGCTGTGTATTTTCTAATTCTCGCGCACTCGAGCTGGTTTCTCCAAAATTACCTACCCCACCTTTAAATGTTTTTATTTTTCAACCAAAGAGATGTTTTCCTACATTTTCATCAACAAATTATGTCACAGGAGTGTAGGGTTTGGGACTTATGGCAGGTTTAAAAAAAGAATGGCGAATTTCAAGCTCTCCTCCACTCTGTTTTGAGATCAAAGCACATAGCTGAATGTCTTGTGACTGTTTTAAAGTTGGAACGAAGTCTCTAGCTGAAAGTATGTGGAAGGAGTAGCATTTGGCGCACGGTGTAGGTACAAAAGGATTTGAAGGTTCCTCCCATTGGGTTACATTGTAAAAATAAAAGTTTGAATAGCTGAATATTATAAAAAGTATAAATGTCCAAAACAAGATTAGTCATAGCAGTCATGTCCTGAAGGAGCTGAACATTTTAATATTGAAGGGTTTCTGTAGCTGAAAGTATGCTGAAGTAGTTAAACGGCAAACATTGGTTGAAATAAGTTGAAGAATAAAGATTTGAAGAACAATAGTGGAATGCTGTTGGACAGCATTCGCACTAATTATAAAAACACACAAAAACCAGACAACCTTTAAAGTCAATGTGTGAGTGACTCGTAAAGTGTTCTACCTGGGTGATAACAGAGGACTTGAGTGGACGGATCTTAGATGTCCAGGCGTTGGCAGTTTCCTGGGTCCCCTCAGGTGAGGCCGCCTTCTCAGGCAGAGGTGGGAAAGCATCCTTGTAGGTAGGAAGTGCATCCTCTTCCTCTACAGCGCCGGGTCCTGCCCCAGCAGCTGTTCAAAAGACAAAACCAGATGAGTGAAATTATGGCTTTTCATTTTGCAGATGAAGCTGAATCATAACAAAATCAAAGTACTCACCACCACCCTGCTCTGGCAGAAGCCCACTGCGGTGCTCATTAAAGCTTTCCTGCGTAAGTACAGCGACTGAGCTCATGGTCAAAATCCCACGTTTACAGAGAGTCCGAGTGTGCCACTGTAAGGAAAGGTGATATTAAAACAGGTGTAGCAGCAGGCTTTATAACTAAAACGTATATGCTCAATTAGCATATCAATACGAGTGATGGTGTGTGGATTTCTGTTTAAGAAAACATTTTTGTAAACGGATATTAAAAAAAAAATGTTTGTATATTTGGGTGATTATATACACTGAATGACTTATTACTAAGCCTTTATGAGCCATGTGAAATGTACAATGCATTTGTCCTGTCTTTTTAAAGTTGGTCTTTACTTAAAGTACATAACTATTTCTTTTCTACGGGCTTTAGAGAAACTCGGATTTCTTTAGGAGTGGCACTACTGACTTTTTCCAACTTGAAATTATTGTTGCTAGTTTTAACATACCGTTTTGCACTTGAATAGGTTTAACATTATATTTTGTGCTGAATTACAAAATGTAATACGAAACTTGATTTGATATTTAGGAGGCAAATACGGAGCCCCTAAAAGGGACCTTAAATTTTTTTTTTAAAAGTCGGGATAACGGGTTAGTATCTTGTGCGCACGAGAAAGTACAAGTACAAGTGGAGCACACAGGAGACAACCTTTTCATTGCAGACTTTTATGTTTATGTGGGGAAATGACAGTGCATAAACTATTTGAGATACATTTCGAACTCAGACTTAATTTTAAGGACATTTCGACCAGGGGTGTAGAGCTATTTGTTTAAGCACCGGACTAGCAAAACAGGAGAGTCTGTAAACCAGTCTTCTTTGATCTATGAGTCCGTGACTAGGCTACCTGCTGCCCGCAGCCGTTTTAAAGGGAAACAAACACTCAGAACACACACACACAGAGCCAGTGGCAGACTGGCCATCAGGGCGTTCGGGACGAATCCCGATGGGCCGGTACCGAAGTGGGCCGGTCGGGCACACTCGGCCCACTCCTATCGGGCCACTAGGTCCACTGTTTCCCCGCAGTGAGGCCTTGGTGACCGGACATTTCCTTCATAAAACTAATAAAAAGGGGGAGTAATCGGGCAGTTCGGTGTGTGTCAGAGTTCCCGTTAGCCGGTAATTACCGGACTATGACCGGTAAAATATGCTGAAGACCGGCAAATCTAAATCTCTCCGGTCAAAGTGACCGGTCAAAATAATTTCCCCTTAGCGCAATACCGCATCAGTTGCGCCACTTATGTGACAGACAAGAAGAGTCAATTCTAATGTCTAACACGTAATGTGGAGAAAGAGATGTCCTGTATGGGTTGATTGTGCGTTGATCTGTTGGTAATGCCTCGGGGGTTCCGGTGGGCATGTAAACAAATGCATAATGCTGCGCTATACTTTGCGGCCTCACCCGGTTGCATAGCGACACTTACTGTACGTCCACACAGCAGCTTTGAAAAAAATCTAGAAAATCTTGGAGCTGGGCGTGTCTGAGAGCTTGGGGATTATTTGCGAGCAACGCGACCAACAACCAATCACATGAATGTCCCGCCCCCGACATACAAAGCAAAAAACCCCGGTTCTTCTCCACTCAGAATATGTGCAGAAAGGAGTATGACTTCTTTGTGCATTAATGTGATGCATATAGTCTATGATGTGGCAGAGGTAAAGTGTCAGC